TCCTTCATCTTCATACTTCCGTTCATTTCATTTCTGATCTTCATATCGTCTAGTATTATCTTAATGATGCTCATTCGTACGTATTTGTTAGTAGTACAAAGGGAGTGGAGGGGAGGGCGGAGGGTAAGGGATAGAAGGTGGAGTTCTCTAGGAGTATGGGGCAGGGGAGTTAGGGGCAATGGGAAGGAAAGAAATATGTGGAGGGCAGGATAGAGTATGACATGCAAAGAACAAGGGAAAGGTGTTTTCCACAATAGGGGCAATGGGAAGGAAAGAAATATGTGGAGGGCAGGATAGAGTATGACAAAAGGGCAGGGGAAAGGTGTACTATGACGGGTTTCACAGATAGGGGCAATGGGAAGGAAAGAAATATGTGGAGGGCAGGATAGAGTATGACATGCAAAGGGAGCAGGGGAAAGGTGTATAACGGGTTTCACAGATTTCTAAATATTCACCGCTGAAGCAGACTACCCAAAAAAAAAAAAAAAAAAAAAAAAAAAAAAAAAAAACACTGACGAGTGGCCACCCCTATAGACCGGACAGGACCGGTTCGGGTGTGGGCTATGGATGCACCGTATCCAATTTTCGCATTCACAGTTGCCGCATCGGATGGCATGGCACAGGCAGATGTCACAGGCTACGTGGCTCGTACATGCTAGAAACACACGCACGTCAACCGCAATTATAAAGGCATTGCCGTTCCAGCCCGTCTACAAATTGGACATGACATGTCGGGGTGCCGTACACGAGTACAGTACTGACTGTCATCGTGCGTATGGAAGCAAAAACTCGCATGGACTATACCTTCATATTAAGTTCATAATCCTCTGAGTCACGGCACAAGGCATGTGAACCACATGCTAGTTGAATCTCCGGCGGGTCATCACAAAACGGCATGGAGCATATTTCTTGGGCTTCCTCAGTATGTATTCCTTCTTTATGGGCAGAGGATATGATCCGCAACAGCTCGCCCTGGTGGTGATAAACTATGAACACATCACTCTGCCGGTGGTTCATATAGAAGTCTATTTTCCTCCTCGGACTGCTGTGTTCATCATTCGTCTGGCAAGAAAGAGGGAGATCGTCAGAGGTTGCCGTAGGTGTATGACCAATACCACATGTGCGACATGCTAGGAGAGGATGTGGAGGGTGATGGCACCGGGGATAGTCCACGCAGTAAAGACACGTACTTTCTATGACAGCTTCCTGGAAGCATTGACGACACATGGCATGTTGCTGACATGTCATTAGTATGAAAGGCTAACGTGCGCAGATATTTAAGCATGGCAGAGCAAGGCCACAACGGCATGCTCGGCAAGTAAGGGGATGAGCACAGGACTGGGGATCACAATTTTCGTGTGAGAGGCTAGAAGCGACCATCCCTTCATAGTGTTCGGAGCAGAGGCTATGTCGTGTACATGCCAACCGAATTGCACCTGTGCGACGACACAACGGGAGGGCACAGCCATCATTCTGTGGAAAGGTCCTTTCACTGTTTGTGGTAGAATCAGCTGGATTGCTCTCCGGGGGGTTTGCAAATGCTCATCGACATACTGTTCCTGACGGATGAGCCAGACTGAGGTACCCTCCCGCATTTGATGACAGAGTTAATATTTCCCACTGTGTGCACCCTGCCGCCATTGTCCCATAGGGTCCATGAATTACCTTCTAAGAGCACTGAAGTGCCCTGGACGATATAAGATACACGCACAGCGCCCTCGCTATAGTGCTACTACGCCATTAATGTAATGCTGATTTCGCAGACGTTGTTCGCTAGATAGAAGAAGAGCACCGTGCCATCTGCCCAGAGGACGACAGCGCTGCGCCTGGGGTGAACATAGAAGTCCTAGCTATGGCATTTATGGGCCTGCTCCGCAAAACCACGAGCCAGGCGCGTATCCGAATATTCGGGCATATATCTTATATCGTCCAGGTCACTTCAGTGCTCTTACCTCGGTAGATAATTCATGGACCCTATGGGACAACGGCAGTAGGGTGCACACAATGGGAAATGTTAACTCTTTCTATCACCTAATGCTGGAGGGTCACTCAGTCTGGCTCATCCATCAGGTCTGTGCGTGTGTGTGTGTGTGTGTGTGTGGAGATGTGTGTGTATGAAGACACGTGTACGATATCCCCAACGTGACATAATCACGAACACCATCAGTGAAACCACTTCAAAGGTAAAACTGAAATAGTTTTGAGATTGGACGTGAAAGGTCGTCACACATACCGCCAGACATCACAAAGCACACAAGGCAGAAAGAAAACCAACAACACAAACCAAAGCATATACGTCGGAGGTCACGGGGGAGGCGGGTGGGCAGGCAACCAGCACAAAACAGCAAAGCATATAGGTTGGAGGGCAAGGGAGGCGGGTGGGCAAGCAAACAGCACAAAACAACAAAGCACACTGGGTGAAAGACATGGGGTAGACGGATGGGCAAGCAAACTGCGTAACGACTGAAAAAAAATAAAACTGATGATGAAAGATGGTTTCGTCAGAGTTGCACTGACTCATCAGGAGGCTGAACCCTCGACAATCGGCGGAATGCCCGTATTGATGGTTTGGGTGAAGGCAGACTGTCCCCAAGTGGAACATAGCAGCAGGCAGCAACCCTGCGGCGCACCAGGCAACGCAGTAGAGGCAACGCGGCTGCACAACGCCAAAGACGACTGCAAGGAAAGACACGACACATAGGACTCGCAGCATGGCAACCAAGCAGTGAAGCACCAAGCAACACCACCAAGACAACCACACTGCAAGGGACGAGAGGGCAAGCGGACAAGCAGCAGAGCAACCATGCTGGGGAGCACAAGGCAACCCCAACACGGCAACTAAACTACAGGGCGCGCAAGCAAAGAACCCAGAAGGCACAACCAGCGGACGGGCGGCAAGGCAGCGAAGCAGCGAAGCGCAAGGCAACACCACAACCCGGCCAGACCACATAGCGAAGACAGCAGCATGCCAAGAACGACCTGTGAGGCAAGCAGAACGGGCAGCAAGGCACTGGTGGAGCGCAGACGGGGTCGTCCACACATCCAACACGGAGCAAAGCAGCACATCACCTACTCACATCACGGGTGAACCCCACAGACTGTTGATTCCCACCACCCACTGAGCCAGGGAGACACTCCAACATCCGTCATCACCTACAGGCAACAAAGACATCCCGAACCGAGCGGCCCCCTAAGACTGCAGTTGGCACTCCAAACGAGGGACCACCGAATGTTTGGCACTACTTAAGGGTGCTCAGTTTGGGTAAGCAAAACACTTACAAAAAGATTATGGGAGGACAGACAACAACAGAAAAAACAGACAAACAGACAACTGATTGTGTGTGTGTGTGTGTGTGTGTGTGTGTGTGTGTGTGTGTGTGTGTGTGTATGTGTGTGTGTCAGAGTGCGTGTTGTCATATTCACTCTTAAACAAAAAAAAAGCAATACTGTGCCAGACTGTTTCGTCGGACTTTCACCAAATCAGGAGGTTGAACGAAACTTGAACCTGGACAGACAGTCTGCCCAAGATGCATTTGACAGACGGATAAGGACTCACCACATCGCCCAGAGTTATCATACTGTGATACCCCTGAGAAACGTGGTTGACTTTACTCACACCAACCTTGTGTGTGTGTGTTGTTTTAAAGGACCCCAGATTCTCTCTCTCATTCCCTTCACAAATCATCACAAGCCATCCATAAGGAAAAAGTTTAGATAGGCAGTAAAATAGAAAATGCAAGGTTGGCCACGTTTGTGTGCTCCAGCGCCGAGTGCCCACACACCTGTCTGCCGCCAAAGCGGCACACTTGCACATATACACTTGTGTGTGTGTGTGTATTTCGGCTTTCCCTCTTTTTTTTTTTTTCTCGTTTTTCTTTTTTTTTGGGCCAATCACCCCCTCCCCTGGCCCCACACGGCTCACACATGCCAACCCTGCCCGAATCCTGGGCCCCCCCTACACGTTTTTTTTACTTTTTTTTTAATCTCATTTTCCGTTTTTTTTGGGCCAATCACCCCCTCCCCTGCCCCCCACACCCCCACACACGCCAACCCCGCCGACTGGCAGTTAATGGAGACCCACATTTTCAGCGTTTTTGTAATGCCATTTATAAGAAAACCCGAAGGACTTCTCAACCAAAAATTGCATCATTCCATAGAGTGCACACCATATTAACAAACCACCAAAAACAAAAGCGAAAACAAAAACAGGGTGAAACGGTAAGGCAAGGTTTTTTTTTTTTTTTTTTTTTTTTTTTTGAAAACAGGGTGAAACAGTAAGGCAAATGCACTCTTCAATGAAAATTTGCTTTCAGAGAATTTTCAGCGTTTTTTGGAAATGGTCACCAGACTCACCACAGACAATTCCAATGGGCCAAAACACTACAGAACAGGTGCTCTCTATCCAATTGCAATGAGCAACAAGCAACGGTCCCAGGTTCCCTTCCAGGCCTTCCCCTTTTCTTTTTCTTTTTCTTTTTTTTTTTTTTTGGGAGGGGGGGGGTTAGTACTATATAGCATCCCATGCATTCATCTAGTGCTGACTTCAGAGAAGCACGAGTCAATCAACATGCAGTTCAAGGAGAGGTTTCAAATGCACATTCATGCAGTGAAATGAAACTGCAAAAAGACACATTACAAAAGCAAATGCATGCAGCACAGAGAAAAAAAGGGAAAAAAAAAAAAAAAAGGAAAAAAAAAGAAAACATTTTTAAAAAAGTGATTGCAGCAGGGAGCAAACTCAGTAAAGTGAGCTCTAGCAATATTAACGGCGTTGCAGAGACACGAGTTGAATCAAAATTCAGTGCAGAGAGAAGTTTTAGTATGCGCATCCAGTGCAATACAGCATGTGGTTGCAAAATGCAATAATTATTGCAGGAAGACAAGTACAAGTGCGCACATGCATGCAGCGCAGCGAAAAAGAAAAGAAAAAGGAAAAAAAGAGCAATGACAACAGGAAGTAAAATGAGCTCAAGGAACACTGATGGACTGCAAAGTAACATGAGACTATCGAAATTCAGTGCACAGAGAGGTTTAGCGTGCAGTGCAAATCCGTGCAGCGCGGAAATCAAATGCAAATGTAGACAGTCAGACAGACAGACAGACAGACAGACAGACAGACGAACGAGCATGCACATGCAGAAATTAGAAAAATGCAAAAAAAAAAAAAAAAAAGCAATTATCGCAACAGGAAGTCAAGTGTGCTCTATCCCCAGGCACAATCTCCACTGCACAGTAATTGCCCGGGCCGTTGGTCATATATTCATATAATACACGCAAAGTGACGCAACGTTCTGCAACTCAAGATCAATGTGCCCATTTTAATTCTTCACCATGTCTACTTCCCCCTCTCTTGCTCAGGCTTTTTGTACATGATTGCCACCGCTGTGATTTCTGTCTCGAGTCCCGTCTCTGAGACCGTCGTCCACCTTCTTAGAGGGTTTCTACAGTAATTTTGCACTGTTTAATATCATCTGTTTCTCCCTCCTTTCTATCCTCTTCTTCTTTGTAACTAGACCCTCCACAGACCTGCTTCGGCTTCTTACACCTGCTCAGGGGGTTCCCCAGGCCGCATTCGTTTTGCACTGGTGGACCTCTGCTTTCAGTGTTTCTCCCCTTCTTTTCCATTCCTTATTTCATAACTAAACCTTCACAGAAGAACCTGCCTGCTTGGGTATCCGACGTTCCCGAGGACTCTCCATGCCGCCTTCCCTTAACACTTTTCTTTTTTTTTTCTCTCCCTTCCTATATTTCACAAACCTGCTTCAACATCTCCATTTACAGTGGGACGTTTTCCAACTTTCTAGTTTTTACATCTGTATTCGAACTTTCTACATCTTTTCTGTTTTCTACATCTATATTCAAACTTTCTACATCTCCATTTGCAGTGGGATCATTTCCGTTTCCTGCCATCTTCACGCGAACAGAACGCCCATCATTCTCGTTGTATTAGGTTCTAGACTGGACAATGTCATTATCACGGCGGTATCTCAACTGGAATTCGTCGCAAATACAGCTATAACGACGGCGTCGACGGGGCAGAACGCACGGTCATTATTGTCGTATCTGGACTGAAGATTACCCGTGTATCTGAGTGGAAGTTAGCCCAAACACAGCTATGGTAATGACCACTTGCAGGCATTGTTCTATTCGAGTGAAGACAGTAGACTCAGTAGACGCAGTAGACTCAGTAGACTCAGTAGTACAGTAGTACAATCCTCCCCCCACTGGGACCTCCCTTGTGTCACCTCCTTCACATGCTGCTCACTGACAGGCTTCTCTACATTTGTAGTTCCAGTGGGATTTATTTTTCTCCTCAGCTTCCACATTATGATCAAAGTTACTACCGCAAAAAAAAAAAAAAAAAAAAAAAAGTTACTACCCAACCGTCGACCACCTTCCCACGCTACTCTACACTGAGTCTACGGTAACTGTAAAAGTGATTTCTACATTTCCACAGGGATGTACTGCCCCTTGGCTGCGTACTTCTCGTAGTACTCACAGATCTTGTCCCAGTTCAAGACATTCCACCAGGCTGAAAAGTACTCCACTTTCTTATTCTGGTACTTGAGATAATAAGCATGCTCCCACACATCCTGGCCCATGAAGGGTATAATGCTGCTCCTCCCCCCCGTGTGGGCGACCCGATCGCCACTGGCAGTGTTCTTGCTCAGAACCACACCCTCCATGAGAGGATTGTCTTGGTTTGCGGTCGTCTCTATCGACAGACGCCCATCCTGCCATCAGGCCCATCACCACACCAAGCCAGGGGAGGGCAGCATGTCAAGTACTAAGGGAAGGTGGTAAAATGATATGATCCTCCTAAGGGAAGGTGGTAAAATGATATGATCCTCCTCCTATTCACTGTGATGGTTGGTTTCACTTTTTGTTGAACAATGGCATTATATTAATTTACCCCAGTAACTTAGTTCCTTTGGTTCGGCTGCTACCATAGAACAACTCAATGGTAACTTGGGCAAAGTCAGCTATGGTCACAGACTTACACGCACACACATGGACACACACACACACGCACACACACGGACACACACACACGCACACACACGCACACACACACACACACACNACACACACACACGCACACACACGCACACACACACACACACACACACGCACACACACACACACACACACACACACACACACACACACACACTATGTTTTTTCGGATCAAGTAATCAATCAATCAATAAATTAATCAACCAATCACAATCTATCAATCAATCAGTCAGTTCAGTATATGTGTGTCAAAATAAAAAAGACTACGTTTGTAGCTTTTTGTGTTAAAAAAAAAAAAAAAAAAAAACTTTGTGCAACATGTTTATCCAACCTGCAATCACAGAAAAAATGAAAAAAAGAAGTCATTCCGGTTCAATTTTTTCTAATAAAAAACTTACAAAAAGAATATGGAAATGCATAAAAATAAATATGGGGCTGTAGGGCTTTTTAACCTATAGCCCCATCTTTTTTTATTTGTTTTTGGTCCATTTTAAAAAAATATGACAAATTCTCAGCTGCGCCCGACCGCCCAGGCCGTGGCCTGCGGTCAGGATCCCGACCGCACACCAGGTTTGACCTCACAGTTATGACCGGGAGCCCGCGGGGGATGCATAGTAACATACGTGCCACGGCCAGGAGGAGTCGCCATCTACGCAGGTCAGCCCCCGGCCCCCCGCCAAAAAAAAAAAAAAAGGGGCGCGGGCTTAATTTTTTGTTTTTAGGGGGGTATTAGAAAAAATATAACTCCCGCACAAAGAAGAACAACAAGATAAACAAACAAAAAAAAAACAGCAAAGAAGAGCAAAAAAAAATCTCTCTCTCTCTCTCTCTCTCTCTCTCTCTTATTGTCATTGCGAACTTTGATGTCTTAGCTATGTGCAATACGCAGATGACTTTGTGATAGGCATTACCGGCCCTCTTCCTGATGCAATTCACAAGACCGACCATACAATACATACACATCGATCAACCCAGCAAATTAGAATTGAAAGTACACGCAAAGTGAGTCCCTCACCGCTTTCTTTCTTTCTCTCTTTCCATCTCGTTAATGAAACAAGTGAGATGCGTTATGTAAAGTCTCTATGGATCCCAAACAGCTCGGCGGTCGCTGGCTAGGACGAGCAGCGCCGCTGCAGCGGTACTTTTGTGGTTTCCTGCTGATATTAGCCTGATAACCTAATCGCTACAAATCATAAAGGTATGTATTCCATTCTCCATTCGGTGGACGTGCTTTATTTATGCATCGTTCTCAACTTCATCGTAATGCGCAGCGAGTGCCGTAACCTGTACACTTTCTTTTCATTACATTCAGAATCCAGACCGTTCAGACTTTACACTTTTCTTCCTTCTAACATGAGCAACACAATGTGTGTTACATATCCCAAAAATCACTCATTTATATGATACGGCAACACAAATTGTGTTGCTCGTGCTCTCTGTGGCCCTGTGGGTGGTGGTCCACCACCACCAAGATCACAACCCAGAGAGAGAGAGAGAGAGAGAGAGAGAGAGAGAGAGAGAGAGCAGGGACTCTCTCTCTCTCTCTCTCTCTCTCTCTCTCTCTCTCTCTCTCTCTTATTGTATATTATATATAGCATAGAGACATAAATAGTAATAGATAAAATACTCTTCGTATTTGATAAAACACTCTTTTTATTTTATTCTTATTTTATTATTAATAATTAGATACAAAATCTTCTGAGAGAGATCTTCATTGTTAATGAATTCTAGGTTTTTGAATTGTTCATAAATTCATAATCTCTCTCTCTGTGGTTCGGCCTCTCTCTCTCTCTCTCTCTGTGTTCAGGGGACGACACCCTCTCTCTCTCTCTCTCTCTCTCTCTCTCTCTCTCTGTGTGTGTCTCTTCCATGCGAGCGGGCCATCTTCCCCTGAACACAACACATCCTGATCATAACCAATGTATACCTGGCTACCAGCCATCTTTCCCATCCAGTATGGCCATAATGGTGCATTGTGTTTGCTCTCTCTCTCTCTCTCTCTCTCTCCCCCTCCCTCCCCAAATTACCGTCTTGAAGTTCCCCGAAACACGACGCACCCTCATTCCTGTAACTGGCATAACGTCTATACTGCACCGGGAAGATCGGCCGGGTGTATACGTTCGTTATCAGGGAAAGGTGTAGAGATAGAGGTGTGGAGACACAGATGGAAAATGACAGGAAACATGTAGAGATGGAGATGGGCCGTAGCATATGGACAATTCACACACAACCAAGCACGGGTATATACACAATGGCGGGTCCAATCTGTGAGTGGAGTATTTCCCAAAGTTTCACAACCGTTATTGGGGCGTTTCGCCATACCCGTGCCCTTTAGGGCTACATAACAAAATAGCCCAAATTTCAGGGGCATTTCAACCACTTTCCCTAAAATAAAAGCAGAGTCTTGACATGCTAGGAAGGACGTCATTCAGGTAGATAGAGAGCCTCACTCCACAACACTCTACAACTGGACGTTTTCTGGACCAGATGAACTAAGGAGTCAATTTTGAATGTATTGGGTTCAGAAAGCACCCAAGTGCATGTAGAGTGGTTTGTCGTGGATTGATGCCCAATAACAGAAGATGGTCCGACTGTGGTAGGATTGTTTGCGTTATTACAACCTTCAGCAGATGGTTTGAAATTATTATTAAATTAATGACAAAAGAGGCTAGTCTACCAAGTAGTACTATTTTATTCATCTTTATAATGGCTCCAGTAACAGTCCAGTTATTACATTTATGTTATTAAATGTTAAGTTTAACCGTCCCCGTAGAAAATAGTGCACCTTTGACAGGCACGTTTTGTATCTTTTCCCCTTTTCTGAAGCGGTGGACACTGGACAGAGGCCAACACAGGACGCAACAGGTCTTGCTCCACTACCTCACGATTCTACATGTGCCTGGACTGTGTTCATGACCAAATTCACGTGGAGAATTTTGGACTGATCAAACATTTTGAATACACCTGGGCCATAACTACCTCCTGATACATTTAGAATCTTGTGCAGTGAAACGAGGCCCAAAAATACATCAGGAAGGAAATTGTCCATGAAGAATTGAAAGAAGCAGGAGAAGAGGGGGGCAAGCATTTTTGAAACCACTGAGCTCCACAGAAGTAACAAGCAGAACAGCAATCATACGTTTTTTCATTCACCGATTAAATTTTACGGCCGGAGAAGGTACGCTTTTCTTTCACCACTTCGCCTACACAAGATCATCTAAAGCTGACGAAAGACCACACTGACTCACTGAGTCTTGCGTCAGCTGTAGTGATTCTGTGTAGGCACAGCCATGGATGCTTGTTCCTTTAGAAACCGAGTCTCCAATCTGCTGGTGTTCGTTGTACCTAAGAGGATAGGGATGCTGAGGGTTTCTCTGTGGGTTGTAATCTGGGATGGGTAGCATGTTCCCTGCCGACAGCATGGATAGCATGCAGGCACTGACGGGCGTTGCCAGGGCGAGTAGCCTCGTGTGGGAAAGGACGGGGATCGGACGACTATAAATGGGGGCAGGCCATGGGTACGGCCTCCAAGTCAGGTAGCGTGCGGGGCGGACAAAACGCGTCGAGGGATCGGCCGCGTGGATGTGGTTCGATGTTCGTAATCGGATGGGCTTTGGATTTTTCGAGTGATGATCTTTACTGGTGTATCTGGAATCTGCTCTACTCCTTATGCTGTGTCTGATTAGATCGTATGCATGCACAACGGAACGATTGTCATTGGTGAATTTCTTATTTTCGTTCTCATGTGTGGGCAGTCACTGCCGGACTGTCGCTCTCCAGTCCATTCGTGGGCAGCAGCACGTGCTGGGAACCACGCCCAGCGTCCCAGTGCCCAGGTACTAGGTAGGCATTTTTTTGAAGTACTTTCCTCAAGGTATCAACGTGTGCGTTGGAAAACTGATTTTGAGAAGTTTCTTCCAATGCATGCCTAGTTCACGTAATTCATGCTATCAAGTGTGTGATTGCAAGTTTAGCGGAATCCAGGTACACTGTCTACACACACACACACACACACACACACACACACATGTGTGCGCGCACATACACAAGTTTTTCAGACTTACTGCAAACACATTAGTCCGTCAGACTTGGTAGCATACCTGTCAGGACTCAAGGGTATGGACCGACGGTCTGCTAGGATGGCAGTGCTGGTGCGAGTGAAGTCAGCGTTTTCCTCAAGGGTATGGCTGACTCTGGGTAACGTGGTGTTGAGCACAGGCCCCCACACCCTGCGACAAGCGTAGTACCTCAGGGTCGTGTCACACAGGATTAAGGTATTGCTTTTGAGTCAGCAGAGACACCACTCCGACCGTGCGTGCCCGACAGGTGGCGCCGTTGCCGGGGAACGAACCCGGGCCTCCTGTGTGACAGGCAGGGATACTTACCACTATAATACAATGACAAAAAAAAAAAAAAGGAAAAAAAATTGAAAAAAAAAAAGAGAAATCAGATTTAAAAATCCTGGGCATACTGTCGGGGTTCAACTGCCTGCCGAGTCGATGAAAGTCCGAAGGAACAGTCTGTGACAGGCATGATTTGTCGAGTTCGAGTTGTGTAAAAACTGTAAAGCGAACATGACAACACACACACAAACAAAAAACACACTCAGCGGATCAATCCAGGAAGAGCCATGAGAATAGACTTTCATACGCACCTCCGCAACACCCAGCCACACCCAACCGGAGCCGAACACTCCTGCGCAGGCTCCATTGAACAATGTTTGAAACTTTTCGAAAGAGCCGAATGTCTCCCCAATCGCATCCTTCAGTTTGCCTGACGGTTCACGTGCCGCCATACCGCGCGGTGCCATATACGTCCAAAACAGGCTGTGATTATAATGACCTCCAGCTGGTCATCGTTTTTTCAGCACAAAAAACGGAAAAAAGTCAACAACACAATATTACAGTGCACATCAGCCATTCATGTGCTCAGTTAAGTGGCAAGAGTCGGTTTCATCCACAATATGGACATCGCTCCACTACTCACCACATGCACAGAAAACAAAAAAAAAATCCCACGTATCTTTCCATGTTCTAGCAAAAGGTACTCTCTATTTTAATTTAGTCGAATAGTGGAGCAAGGCCCTATGAGGCAAGCAACGCACGTTATCCACATGGAAGAGTTTCTGCTTCCCAAGAGACGAACGGCATGGCCGCACCACTCTCGAAATGTGAAAAGAAAATATTGTGGGGGGTGCATCTGGCCATGTTCTACGAGGAAGTTCATTCTCATTTTGTACATTCAGAGAGTGCTGTGGTGGCAATGCCCTAAGGGACGAAAACATCCACGCGTTGATGGAGTAAAGACAATAACAGCATCTGCTCAAATTCAGCTCAATAGAGAGCCTGCCTATCTGCAGTATGATTGGCAGAGGAGGAGAATGAGGACCTTTCGCCCACAGCTGTCCGCCTGCAGCACAACTACTGTGACCCTTGGCCTCACATGCGCACTCTCCAAATGTGCAAGATGAGAATGAATCTTCCGCAAGAACATAAAACTTCCAAGGAAACACCGACATATTTTGTCTTTTAGACATACATATAAAAAATAAGAATCAAAATTATAGGAATTGATCAATTCCAAGTAAGAATCAAAATAGGAATTGATCAATTCCTACTTTGATTCTTATTTTTTATATGTACGTCTTGAAAAAGAAGACAATATATATATATCGTCACAAACAGAACTGCCCGGTAAAACCGTAGGCAGAGAGAGAGAAGAGGACAACAAACGAGGGGCTGTGACAAACTGTTTCGTCGGAGTTTCACCGGCTGAACCCTCAACAGTCTGCAGAATCCCCTCACTGATTACACTGTAAATGATAATCTACCTTAACCAAAATCAAAGTAGACTATCACTCACCCACACCAGATGGAAAACTCTACAGACTGTCGGTTCACAC